ACAGATTGAGCTGTCCAGCAGCATGTAACAACCTTTACCAGCTGGAACATTAAGGTGATGAACACATGAATGAGTTAATAATTATAATCCATTTATATATATTATTCTGAAATGACCCATTCTGCATAATGAGTACTTTTACTGGTGGGAAGTAAGTATATTTTGATGCTAATACAGGATGCAGGTTAACGTAGTATTTCTAGACCGTGCTATTTGAAGGGATTTTGGTTTAATTTAGAAATGTTTATACAGTCAGTGGTTCAGAACAACCAGAGACAGTTTCACCTCACAGTCATTTCATCCAATGTATTAAAAGCATATTTAAAAGATGAAACAAATTTGTTTTCTACTTTAAACATTTAATTCATTTCACAATCATCACATCCTACAAAAACATAGTGTTGTGTCAGAAGGAATGAGTTTGCTCTGAAGAGGAACAGGAACTACTTCTGGGTTTGACTGAAGGTTAAACACAGATAAGATCGCATCAGTCAAAAAAAAACATGAACATTCAGCCTTGTTGCTGTTGTGCATGTTTGATTGTTTTTTTCTCTGTTAAGCATCGTTTCTTCTTCTGGTGTAAAGTGCAGGTGATGCCAACAGATTTGCCCGAAACACGCTTTGTTGGAATAAATGAAACTAAATACACAGTGATGCAGGAGCTGCAGTCCTGTATTGTGAATCAAAGCCTATCATCAGTGTCTACTGTCTGCAGAGCGAGTTGTTGTAGCAGTAGGATCCTCTGCCAGCTGAAGTTCCTGTCCTGGTGTTAAAAGAGAGATCAGCTACTGATAATCTGCTGTGTGTTGGTCCTGGAGAACTACTGCACAGGACGGATCTTCATGATGATGAAGCAGATCTGAGGTCTGTGAGGGAGTGATGATGGACAGGTGACCAGCTGCACCTTTAAACTGTGAGTTAAAACAACACTCACATGTCCACATGTACATAAGTAAAGTTTTAATAATAATAATAATAATAATAATAATAATCTTTATTTGTAGAGCACTTTTCAAAAACAAGTTACAAAGTGCTTTAACAAGTGTAAAGACAATAATACAAAAACAATACAAGATAAAAGAATGAAAACATTGAAAAGACTAAAATACACGTTTAAGATAAATATAAAATTAGTAAAATAGAATAAAATAAAAGGGATAAAATAAAGTCAAATAAGATCGGGAAAGGCTCTCCTATAAAAGTATGTTTTAAGAAGGGACTTAAAAGAGTTCACTGACTCAGCCGACCTGATTTCCTCGGGCAGGCTGTTCCAGAGCCTCGGGGCCCTGACAGCAAACGCTCTGTCCCCTTTAGTTTTCAGTCGAGACTCTGGAACAGACAACAGACCTCTGCCCGAGGATCTCAAGGTACGTGCTGGTGCGTATGGGACTAAAAGGTCAGAAATATAACAAGGCGAGAGGCCATGAAGAGCTTTAAAAGTGATCAATAGAATTTTAAAGTTAATTCTAAAACATGCTGGGAGCCAGTGTAATGAAGCTAAAATAGGAGTAATGTGGTCATATTTCTTTGTTCTGGTTAAAAGCCTGGCAGCTGAGTTCTGGACAGTCTGGAGTCGATCAATAGATTTTTGGGTTAAGCAGGTGAAAAGGCTGTTGCAATAATCCAGGCGTGATGAGATGAAGGCGTGTAAAATGGTCTTGGTGTCCTTAAAAGTTAACATAGATCGAATTTTTGCTATATTTCTAAGTTGATAAAAACATGATTGAACAAGCTTTGTGGTGTGCTGCTCGAAATTTAAATTACTATCAAACCAAACACCAAGGTTCTTTGCCACAGGCTTAATGTGATTTACTAGGGACCAGCAGATGGCAGTATTTGATTTGCCATCTGCTGGGACCCGATGACCAGGATTTCTGTTTTGTCTGAGTTCAGTTGGAGGAAATTATTTGACATCCATTTTTTAACTTCACAAAGGCAGTTGTTAAGTGAACTCAGCATTCCAGGGTCTGTGGATCTGACGGGCAAGTATTTGTGTGTCATCAGCATAAATATGAAAAGAAATACCATGTTTATGGATAATATGTCCAAGGGGAAGCAGATACAAGGAAAACAAAATGGGTCCAAAGACCGACCCCTGAGGCACACCATATTTAACTGGACAGAACAAAGAGACATAGTTGTTTACAGACACGCAAAACTTCCTGTTTGACAGGTAGGATGAAAACCATTCTAGGGCAGAACCAGAGATCCCCACCCAGTGCCTCAGTCTGTCTAACATGATGTTGTGATCAATGGTGTCAAAAGCAGCGCTAAGGTCCAGGAGTACCAGGACTGAGCACATTCCTTCATCAGCAGACATTAAAAGGTCATTGGTGACTTTAAGCAGGGCAGTCTCAGTGCTGTGGTACTTCCTAAAACCAGACTGAAACTTTCAAATAATTTGTATTTTCCAGTACAGTGAGCAGCTGTTTGGACACAATTCTTTCTAGAATCTTTGCAATAAAAGGCAGTTTTGAAATTGGTCTAAAATTATGTGGGAGGGAGGGATCTAAACCAGGTTTCTTTAAAAGTGGGTTCACGCAAGCCGTTTTAAAATAATCATGGACACAACCAGTAGATAGGGAGCTGTTGAAAACAGAGATCAAATGGGGCCCAACAGAATCTATTACTTTCAGTAAAAACTTTGTAGGTATTACATCAAGTGGGCTGGAGGACACTCTCATTTGTGATACTGTTTTTAAAAGCTCAGACAAGTCGATGGGATAAAACTGGTTAAAACTCTCTTGTTGCTGGTGAGGAACCTCTGAGTAAGAGGCCGCGGGGGTAATAGAGGCTCTGATTGACACCACCTTATTGGTAAAATAAGATAAAAACAATTCACAGTCATCCTTACTTCCAGCTGAGGCACAAGGAGGGGTTGGGTTTACCAGCTGATCCACAGTCTTAAACAGAAACCTGGGATTGTGTTTATGTGTAGTAATGAGTTCAGAAAATAGTGTGTTCTCGCATCCTTAACCATGTTATTGTAGTTAATTAATAAATCCTTCAGACTGAGGTAATGGACTTGGAGACTGGACTTTTTCCATCTGCGCTCTGCTTTCCTGCATTCCCTTTTTAGGCTGCGAATGCTGTCATTTATCCAGGGTTGCTTACTAGCTTTAGACGTAGGCCTAACCTTTAGAGGAGCAGTAATATTTAGTGACGACAAGCAGATATGATTGAAGTGATCGACCAGATTGTTGGTGTTGGAATCAGACAGGTGTTGGCTTTGGCTCTGAAAGAATGCGCAAAACTTTGAAACACTGTTCATTAAAGATGCGAGAACACACGGAGCTTGGTGAGGCGGCATGAGTAACAGGCGAATTGCAGCTAAAAACTATACATCTGTGGTCAGATATGGTCATGTCCACTAATTCCACAGAGGAAATACTGACACCCAGGGTAAAAACCAAGTCCAGTGTATGACCACGGTTATGTGTTTGCCCTTTGACATGTTGTTTGAAGTTAAAAGAAGTGGCCATATTTAAAAAGTCAGTTGCATTAACATTGGTGGGGTCATCAACATGAATATTAAAATCGCCACAAAGAACAATTCTGTCATAATTTAAAACCAGAGTAGATAAAAATTCAGGAAGTTCTGATAAAAATCCTCCAGGCGGTTTTGGGGAGCGATAAATCATAACAAATATGATGATAGGTTACAGCCCTCCAAGTTTAAGAGCTTAACTTCAAAGGAGTTAAATTCATCATAGCGTTCTTGATGACATTTTAAATATTTCCTATACACGCTCACTAGCCCACCACCACGACCACTGACCCTCTTTTGACTTTTGACTAAAACAATCATATTGAGGCGGACACAGTTCAGCTAGCTGGCTATAGTCATTCATCTGCAACCAGGATTCAGTTAAAAACATAAAATCTAGATTTGCAGACAAAATAAAATCATTTAAGATAAAAGTCTTAATTTAAGGTACTTGTACTTCAGTGTTTCCATGTCATGCTTTGTTGCAGTACTTCTCAGAGGGAAATATTGGACTCCAAATGGTTATTTTAAGTATTATTACAGATTGAGCTGTCCAGCAGCATGTAACAACCTTTACCAGCTGGAACATTAAGGTGATGAACACATGAATGAGTTAATAATTATAATCCATTTATATATATTATTCTGAAATGACCCATTCTGCATAATGAGTACTTTTACTGGTGGGAAGTAAGTATATTTTGATGCTAATACAGGATGCAGGTTAACGTAGTATTTCTAGACCGTGCTATTTGAAGGGATTTTGGTTTAATTTAGAAATGTTTATACAGTCAGTGGTTCAGAACAACCAGAGACAGTTTCACCTCACAGTCATTTCATCCAATGTATTAAAAGCATATTTAAAAGATGAAACAAATTTGTTTTCTACTTTAAACATTTAATTCATTTCACAATCATCACATCCTACAAAAACATAGTGTTGTGTCAGAAGGAATGAGTTTGCTCTGAAGAGGAACAGGAACTACTTCTGGGTTTGACTGAAGGTTAAACACAGATAAGATCGCATCAGTCATAAAAAAACATGAACATTCAGCCTTGTTGCTGTTGTGCATGTTTGATTGTTTTTTTCTCTGTTAAGCATCGTTTCTTCTTCTGGTGTAAAGTGCAGGTGATGCCAACAGATTTGCCCGAAACACGCTTTGTTGGAATAAATGAAACTAAATACACAGTGATGCAGGAGCTGCAGTCCTGTATTGTGAATCAAAGCCTATCATCAGTGTCTACTGTCTGCAGAGCGAGTTGTTGTAGCAGTAGGATCCTCTGCCAGCTGAAGTTCCTGTCCTGGTGTTAAAAGAGAGATCAGCTGCTGATAATCTGCTGTGTGTTGGTCCTGGAGAACTACTGCACAGGACGGATCTTCATGATGACGGTCTTCAGGGAGTTAAATTAAGTTAAAAAAGAAAATACCCGTTCTGTGGCCAAAGCCAAAGGGCTCCTTTGATCAAACTTCAGTCGATGGAGAGACTTTTCTTCTGTTGCAGCGGTACTTTATACTTTATTTATTCTGATTAGAAACACATACTATAGAACATTTATTCTTTAAACAGTCATTTCTGTATCACACATAAACAGGAGTGCAGCTCAGACATTTCTCTGCATGAAATGAAGTTGTGTATTAGGCGGACATGTTTTCTGCAGCAGTGAAGCAGATCTGAGGTCAGAGACTCTGTGAGGGAGTGATGATGGACAGGTGACCAGCTGCACCTTTAAACTGTGAGTTAAAACAACACTCACATGTCCACATGTACATAAGTAAAGTTTTAAGGTACTTGTACTTCAGTGTTAACGTAGTATTTCTAGACCGTGCTATATTAAGGGTTTAATTTAGAAATATTTATTGTATTTATTTATTTAGAAGAACATGACTCTTTCAGTTATTGTTTATTATGTGGAACTTCAGGGGTTCATCCCAACTTCGGGATGAATGAATGTATAAATGAATGAATTCTCATATGTCATGGTGTTTACTGAAGGATTTAAGGTAATAAACATACAAAACTACATCACATGTTCTTCATTTGTTTCATTTCCAGATTCAGTGTTTGTTAATGAAATTAAGGGCGATCTGCACACTTTAAGGCATATATTGTGTAAACTATTCAAAATGGACCAAATCATCCCTGAACTGAACACTGAAAAGAGCCTGATAAAAATGATAAAAATTAAAGTTATGCTTTCATGTTTCATGCTTTCATTTACAGGAGTTTTTAACCCTTAAACTGAGCAGTTAAACTATCAACACATTTACATGTTAGAATCCATTAATCAGTAAACTTTACCGCCCACGTTTATGATTTATGAGCAGCAGATAATAAACTGACAATTTAACACCGTTGTGATCATTTAAAATATATCTTCATGTTTTATATGAAGTATTAAATATATTAAGTATTATATTTATTAATGAAGTGTAATCTGTTTATAAATAGAACCAGGTAGGTTTAAATTAGCTCAGAAACATTTGAGCAGATTGTAGTTATCGTCCTCATGTAGTTGATCAACATTTCATGAGTTTTTTTCTATGTATATTGTACAATTACAATCAATTACTGATCTTTACCCTGTCAGAGGCTTGATGGAGCTGCAGCACTAAAGTGAACTGTACCTTTTTGGGCCGGACAGAAGCTCCAACATCAGTGAAGACGGTGGCGCCCCCTGCCTGTACGTCACTCATCTGCAGCATGAAGGAGGAGACAGATTAACCCTTGCAGTCAGTTTGGCACATTTTCTCTCTCACAATAATCAGTGCTGTCTGAAAGTGAAGATTTATTTCTATAATAAATTCTATAAACATGAAGATTTTAGGTTCGCCTCGAAAGAAAATGTTTTTATTATAAGATGTGACGTCTCATCTCAGACGTCTGAGCAGCTTCATAATCAAATAAAAACAGGAGAGAACTGATAAAGTAGAACAAATAAATATTTACTCAGTTTTTACTGTCTCTGACTTTATGACTTAATGGGGTCAAAGGTCAACTACAGTAAGGTGAAGAGTTCACTTAGTATACGTGACTAAGTGTGACGGATCATTTTGTTCACAATGACTGAGATGTTGACTGACAGCTAGACAGACCAAACAGTGGGCGGGGCGGGCGGCGGCGTTCTGCTCATAGCTACTAAGATAAGAAACATTGTGTGCGGGTTACTGACGTAAAGCAGCCAGGTGGCGATTCTGTTTCCTGTCCCCAACTCTTCAAACACATCCGGTTCATCTTTCTGAAAGATCACAACAGTGAAATCAATCAATACTCCAACTTCATCAGAGATATTATCCTGCACCGAGTGTATTTGGTGCTGATACTTTTGTACTTTTACTAAGAACAGAGTACTTCTACACTGTAGTATTACTACTTCCTCTGAAGTAAAAGAGCTGAGTACTTCGTCTTCTCTTCTTTCTGCCAAAACTAATCAACACTTCAGAGACAAACACAGAAGCATCATTTCAGAGCCTCCTGCTGCTGAGAGGGAAACGTCCATTTACCCGTCCGAAGTCAAAGTGAGGCTCGTACTGTCCTCCCACGCCGTAGTTGGCCACCTGCGTCCACAAACACACAGAAATAACATTTAAAGAGATAAAGGAGAAACATGCAAATGAAAAGTCTGTTTGAATCTTGTGTTGATCTGGATTCTTTAATTCAATTAAATTCAAATTAGCTTTGTTGGCATGAATGTGTAAGAACAATATGGTCAAAGCATCATACAAACTACATAAGAACAATAAACATCATACATTTCATTAAACAAGTAATTAAAGCGTGTGTGTTAAAAAAAAATTTTTTTTTAATTTTTTTATAAATAAATCAATGAAAAGGTAACGTGTGTGTTATTATAATAATATATTAAAAATTTAAATAAATAAATAAACGAAAAGGTAACGTGTGTGTGTGTTATTATAATAATATATTAGAAAATTTAATAAATAAATCAATGAAAAGGTAACGTGTGTGTGTTATTATAATAATATATTAGAAAATTTAATAAATAAATCAATGAAAAGGTAACGTGTGTGTGTTATTATAATAATATATTAAAAATTTAAATAAATCAATGAAAAGGTAACGTGTGTGTGTTAGTATAATAATATATAAAAATGTAAATAAATAAATCAATGAAAAGGTAACGTGTGTTATTATAATAATATAAAAAATTTAAATAAATCAATGAAAAATTTAGATTTAAATAATAATAATTTTTAAAAAAAGAAATCATTATCAAATGTGAAATTTGTGTTTAGAAGCTGCAGATCTTTTGATGATTCACAGATCATCTGATTTTAAAGTTTGAACTGCCCCCCTGATCTGAACCCGAGTGGGTGTTTGTTGTTAGACTTCTGTGCTAGTCATGGATTGTCTATAACGAACACCATGTTCGACCATGTTAACAGAGCACCCTAGGCTGAAGATCAATGATCGATTTTGTAATCATTTCATCTGATTTGAGGCCGCATTTTTCGCACACTCGGGTGAAGAGAGGGGCAGAGCTGTCAACTGATCACCATCTGGTGGTGAGTTGGGTCAGGGGGTGGGGGAAGACTCTGGACAGATCTGGTAAGCCCAAACGAGTAGTGCGGGTGAACTGGGAACGTCTGGAGGAGGCCCCTGTCTGTGAGATCTTCAACTCAAACCTCCGGCGGAGCTTTTCTGGCATCCCTGTGGAGGTTGGGGACATTGAACAGGAGTGGGCAATGTTCAAAACCTCTATTGCTGAAGCTGCAGCGGAAAGCTGTGGTCTCAAGGTTTTAGGTGCCTCAAGGGGCGGTAACCCTCGAACACCGTGGTGGACACCGGTGGTCAGGGAATTTGGGATTTGTTGTCTCGGAGGACTGTCTCGGTTGCAAGGTACCGACGGGCCCGAAGGACTGCAGCCTCTGCTGTGGCAGATGGAAAGCAGCGGGTGTGGGAGAAGTTCGGAGAAGACATGGAGAAGGACTTTCAGTCGGCACCAAAGTGTTTCTGGAGAACTGTCCGCCATCTCAGGAGGGGGAAGCGGGGAACCGTCCAAGCTGTGTACAGTAAGGATGAGACCCTGCTGACCTCAACTGGGGAGGCAATTTGGCGGTGGAAGGAACACTTTGAGGAACTCCTATATCCGACTGACACGCCCTCTTTAGTAGAGACAGAGCTCGAGGCTGATGGGGGATTCTCTTCAATTTCCCTGGAGGTAGTCAAACAACTCCACAGTGGCAAAGCCCCAGGGATTGATGAGATCCGCCCAGAAATGCTAAAAGCTTTGGGTGTGGAGGGGCTGTCTTGGATGACTTGTCTCTTTAACATTGCGTGGAAGTCAGGTACAGTGCCCAAGGAGTGGCAGACTGGGGTGGTGGTTCCCCTGTTCAAAAAGGGGGACCAGAGAGTGTGTGCCAATTACAGGGGTATCACACTTCTCAGCCTCCCCGGTAAAGTCTATTCCAGGGTGCTAGAACGGAGGGTTCGGCCGATTGTCAAACCTCAGATTGAAGAGGAACAATGCGGTTTTCGTCCCGGTCGTGGAACAACTGACCAGCTCTTTACTCTCACAAGGATCCTGGAGTGGGCTTGGGAGTATGCCCATCCAGTCTACATGTGCTTTGTAGATCTGGAGAAGGCGTATGACCGGGTCCTCCGGGAGATACTGTGGGAGGTGCTGCGGGATTATGGGGTGAGGGGGGCCCTTCTCAGGGCTATCCAATCCCTGTACATCCAAAGCGAGAGCTGTGTCCGAGTACTCGGCAGTAAGTCGGACTCTTTCCAGGTGAGGGGGCGGTAATGCACTCGCTTTACCGCACCGTTGTGGCGAAAAGAGAGCTGAGCCGTAAGGCAAAGCTCTCTATCTACCGGTCGATTTTCGCTCCTACCCTCACGTATAGTCATGAAGGCTGGGTCATGACCGAAAGAACGAGATCGCGGGTACAAGTGGCCGAAATGGGTTTCCTCAGGCGGGTGGCTGGTGTCTCCCTTAGAGATAGGGTGAGAAGCCCGGCCATCCGCGAGGAGCTCAGAGTAGAGCCGCTGCTCCTTCGCGTTGAAAGGAGCCAGTTGAGGTGGTTTGGGCATCTGGTAAGGATGCCTCCTGGACGCCACCCAAGGGAGTTGTTCCAGGCACATCCAGCTGGGAGGAGGCCTCAGGGAAGACCCAGGACTAGGTGGAGAGATTATATCTCCACACTGGGAACGCCTCGGGATCCCCCAGTCAGAGCTGGTTAACGCGGCTTGGGAAAGAAAAGTTTGGGGTTCCCTGCTGGAGCGGCTCCCCCCACGACCCGGTCCCGGATAAGCAGATGAAGATGGATGGATGGATGGATAGTTGCCTTTACATCCAAATGTGTCTGAGGGTGAACTGATAAACAGCAACCCATTGATGATTATCACTATTGAATGTTCATTCGTTGTAGACATTGACAACTAATTTCAAGATGTATCTGGGGTGTAGCTCAACAGGGCTGGTGATGGGGATGGCCCAATGGATAAGACGCATGCTTTTGTTGTGAGAGACCCGGGTTCAATCCCCCACTGTGACCCATCCACCATTTTTTTTAATTTATGTGGTAGTTGTCCACAACCCAAATCAGAAATTAAGGAGAAATGTGTTTTTACAACACCTCAAGAAGACTTCATATCAGAAAGGAAGTTATTTCAATGTACAACTGCAGTATTTCAATCCCAAAATCGATACAGTAAAAAAGAGTTATCCTGAACGCAAAATGTGATAGCCTAGCCTAGTCATTTTCAGGAATATTTTCATGTTTTTCCAGGAAACCACAATTAAAGAATGAAGTATTTTCCCTAAAGGTTTTCACTTTTAATAAACACATGTAACATATTTTATACTTCTATACCCTATCTGACAACACTGTAGGTCAGAGGGTCCACTCAACTTCCTTCAGTGAACTTCCTTCTGTTCACTGAAGGAAGCCATCTCTTGTGTGAAGAGCAAGGCTTGTTGATGTGTGAGGTTAGACTCGACCTCTGTCGTTGTGACTGATCCACCAATAGGCAAGAAGTTGACCCCTTGAGCCACAGCCCCTCCTCATTTGCATAATGAGGCAGAAATGCATAGAGAAATGTAAAAAGGAGAGACAGGAATAAATACCATTGAGGAAATAAATAGGGTAGAAATGCAAAGGAAGAATAATATTCTTCTAATGAAGAAAAAAAATATTAAATCATACACATAAACAAATACATTTAAAAAAGTAATTAATTAGTAAAGTAATTAAAGTAATTAATAAATAAAGTTGAAGATTATAACAGACAACAAATAAATAAGATAATTAATACAAAGCTGAATAAATAAAGAAGCAAATTAAAATAGATATATTTATTTATATCTCACTGTATAATTTAATTACTGCCTACATTTATTTATTTACTGTATTTTCTTGTGCATTTAATCAGATGGTTATTTATTTATTGAGCATTTATTTATTTCTGTATTTATTTCTGAATCTGACAGCTAAAGACTGCTGGGAGGCTTGTAGGTGTCAGAACTACAAGTCAGCCACAAGATGGAGACAAATACCGTGTGTTGAAATGGATGCTCTATAACAAATTTTGGTAGCACTTTATAATAACTACACACTATAAAGCATTATTTAAGTATTAGTAAATACGGAATTCATCATTTATAAAGCATTGTTCATACATTAATACACATTAGTAAGTCATTCATAAACACAGTTATAGATAGAAGTAGATATAAATAGAAAAACTAAATAGATACATTATATACATTATATCAAATAAAATAAAATAAAACAAAAGCTATGTAATTCTACTGAAAACTCAAACTTACAGCACCAGCAGTTCACATACAGTACCCACAACTAGCAACTAACTAACTAACTAACTAACATGAACTGAGCAACTGTGCAAAACCATCTCAAGCTGAGTGACAGTGGTGTGATTAGTAGCAGCAAAGTCAGCAGATTATTGTATTCATAAGAGTAATATGATGCCGTTCCAGAGCATGGAGCGATCTTTGTTAAACATGGAGAAAAGAAAAAGGACTGCTGTTGTTGGTGCTGCCAGGGGGGGTGGGGGGGTGGGAGTAAAATCGGCCCCTGATGCCTCCTCTCTCCAAGGCTGTGATTGGTTGGGTTCATAGGTACTCACAGCAAGAGTTTGTGCCTCTACAGCATGATAACCTGATCTGACTCAGTAACTCTGCTTTGATTCCAGCATAAATGTGAAGCTGAGTCCCAGAGAAGGTGAAGTGTACCTGGACAGCAGACCTCTCTCCAAGGGGATAGATGGTGTACACTCCACTGGGGAGGCTCTTGTCTTGTTTGTAGATGTCACTGCAGTCCACCGGTTGGAAGAAATGCTGGCAGCTGGTCAACAGAGGAGCCAGGAGGAGGAAGACGACTGATACCAGCTGGAACAGAGCACATGTTGTCGTTCTGACTGAGCTTTGACTCTTACACACTGTTTTAACAGTTTGGCTTCTAGTTTCATGGCGGTGTGGGCAAAGACACCTCTAAGGTGGAGCTAACTGACAATAATTATCTGCCTGGGTTGTTGCTGTAGCAACCATCTAAGCTACCGATATCACAAGCCTCTTCACAGTTTAACAGGACTTTGAGATCTGTAAAATATCAGTTCACAAACTCACCTTCATTGTCAGATTTCTGCTGAAACTGCTGATGTGGATCCGTCTGATGCTCTGAAAATACAGCAACAATATATTTGTTCCGTCACTGAACTCACATGGAACAGATTATTATGTGAATGCAGAATAAGTAGAATTTAAATTTGGTGTTTAGGTTGTAGCTCCGTCACTCCCCAATACACTAAGCTGGGAGTGACAGTAATAACTTCCCTCACAAAACTGCATTAGATACAAATCATGACACCGACTGTTGAATAGAATTGATCAGGGTTCAAAGTCTTTCTGTGATTTAGAATTGTTATTTCATTGTAATATAGGATTTTTAGAATATTAGAGTCACCTCTCAGTAAAATCAAACACAATTCTGCAGCATCACAAACTACAGACATGTTGACAGACTTCACCGCCATCACTTCATACAACCACAGTCTGCAGCTCTACAGACGCTCTGCAGTCACTCAGGAATCAACACATACTCAACCAAAACTCATCAGTATTTGGGATATCACACATGATTATATATAAGTTCATAAAACAGTTGCATTTTTAATTGAAATGCAATATTTAAATATTGCAAATTATTGCAACATGACTAAATGTTTATGAAGTTCAGCTCAATGTTTTGCTAATTCAGCCATTTTGGTTAAAAAACTGCCCAAAGCCTCTGTGAGATCCTGGAGGAGCTGAGAATAATACTGCACACAGCTGATTTATCAGACATGTGTAATGTCTCCTGGTTGGATGCTTCCTGTCTGAACTCACCTGCAGGTTGAACTGAGGAGACGTTGCGGCTTCACCTTCAGAGGAAACAAACTGCTGTTTCTCCTTCAGTCTGTCACACTCTCACAACTTCACTACTTATATCTACAGAAGGCGCTGTGATGTCACAGCACTCGCACCTCTTAAATTCTCCAGCATTTCCTGTTCTTGTTTAAACATATGATTTGTTGTGTAATATTAAAATGAGCTTGTTATTCTGCCAAAGGCCCTGTAGTACATGATGGTTATGAATGAAATAAAAACATTGAAGAAGACTTTAAAAGGAACATTAAACCTGTAAAAAGTACATCAGGTGACATTAGGAACAATGTGGAGCTTCACACTATTCCCCAGCCTTAACCCAAACCCTGGAGGGATCTGTGATTTCTCAGTTTGGAAGCAGCAGCCTCCCGTTCAGCTCTCCTGTGAGGGAGTTTGTCTTCTGTCTAAAGGCCCGAACACACAAAGTGTCACAGTAAAATGCCATTGCAAACGTTCATCATCATCATTTTACCACAAGTTCAAATTCTGGCTATCAGAACTACTTTGTGTTTCTATTGTATTTCATAAAAGCACTCGGCTGGCAGTGCGTGTTCCGAGTTGTGAGACTCCGGCAAGATGAGGGAGGTGATGCTTGGTGCTCAAACACAGTCAAGATGGACACGGGTGGATGGATGGATATGTGTATGTGCAGTAAATAACCTTTGTATATAAATAACTGTATATATTTTTAAGTTAATTAAATTTTATATGTTACCATATTTTAATACACGTTTAATTTTCTGTTAAGTTCTCTGTGTGTAGCATGAAGGGACTGCAAACTACAGACTTTCACAAAGTGCTGTATAATTATAAATGTATAATGATAAATAATCTACCTTGTACCTTGTATCTATCTAAAGAAACGTCATTCCATGAGTGGCTACTCTCTGCTGTCTCAGATGACTCCATCTTTTGTCCTGTGTCAGCCACCGTAGCTATGCTACAATTTTGATAAGGGGGAGACTTAGCTGATGGTTACAATTCGCAACGTGACCACTAGATGTCACCACAATGTACACACTGAACCTTTAAGTTAACATTAAGTGACTGTCCTGATACCAAATTAAGCTTACAAAGCTAAAACTACAAAAGTAACTTACTGTTAGCTAACTGTTACACTGCAACATTTATTTCTGTAAATAATGTGTGACTTAACAAGTAAATAAGCAACATATGAATATTTCACTATAAATGCAATTAAAAACAAAATTGTGAAGACCCTACATGAATTGGATGAGAAGGAGCTGTAGCAACTTGCCCAGAAAAGGGAAACCTGAGCGCCGTCCTACAGCCATTAGAGGGGACCCGCCGACGAGCATCTGATGGCCAGGCCTTGACTCACGCATCCCGGGCGAAGGTGAGGACATGGAAAGTGCGCCTTGTTCAAAGTCTCCATTATAAAGGTGGCTTCCTGTCAGCAGCAATCTAAGAACCTGATGGTTGACCCCAGCGGGGAAGGAAGCCGCCAAGCAGAAGAAGGAGGCCTTTCGACTGGCCTCAAGAAAGTTCTGGCCTGCCATTCGATGACTCAGGAAGCACAAACAGGGCTTGGCTCAGGCTGTGCTCAGCCGGGGATGGATGAGAACTGCTGACCTCGACTCGAGATATTGTTAAGCGATGAAAGAGCAGTTTGAGGAGCTCCTGAACCCGACCAACACGTCCTCTGGGGAGGAGGCAAAGTCTGAAGACGCCAGGAAGTTGGTACCATATTCCTGGTAGAGGGAGTCAAGCAACTTCTTGGCGGCAAAACGCTGGTTTGTGGATGAGATTTGGACTGAGATGCTAAAGGCTTTGGACATTGTTTGGCTGAGCAATGTAGATTCTGTCCTGGCTGTGGAACAGTGGACTAGGTACGAGCCATCCAGTCCTTGTATAACCAAAGTAACAGCTGTCTATGAAGATTCTCAGTCATCCAGGTCATAGTTATCCAACGAAGGTTAAAGTCAAGGGCAACTGGACTTGGTTGAAGATACTGGAAGACGTTTCGTCCCTCATCCAAAGGAGATCCTTTGGATGAGGGACGAAACGTCTTGACTTTTAAATTTACTGTGAAATACCATTGAAACATAACTATAGATCACCCACACACAAGCACTGTGTCATTGTTCATACAATCATTAAATATTGTAGAACAAAATAGGTGATACAGGTTTCATTATGGTACTACATGTACAGTAAATACATCTCTGTAAAAGTACTGCAGTAGTAGAGAGAATACTACAGACACAGTGGAATCATTGAACAAAGTTTGTAATATATTGATGCAAAACACTACAGTACAATCACAACATAGGTTTATTTGAATCAAAACAAAATTAATTGATGATCTAAGCAAGTGTTCCTCAACTTACTTGCTTGTACTATAAGAAACAAAACAGGAGTGATTACTTTACTTCTACATTGTCATCAACTCTGTGTTGTGGATTTGGCCACAGGTTCTCATCTACATCACAATGGATGTTTTCATTAGCCAAACATTTTGGAAAAAAACTTCGGGCATGGCGAATCCAGGCCTGACACTGGTCTGCTGTGATGTCATTGCAGGCGTCATCCATGGCCTGGAGAAGAGTGACTTGTTCATGAGGGTGCCTGTCATGAACCTTCCATCTCCATGCGGAGAAAAAGGGAAGCTCTACAAACCTGATGGAGCTCATCAAGAAAGGTGACAAGGAGAGCTGCATTATATGGTCCAATATGAGGTCTGCGTCCCGCCACACCTCTCAAACGAGGCCCACGACCACCTCTCAGAAGGGGTGCCTGTCCCCTGCCATTCCTTTGACTTGTCTTCCTCCCACCACTGCTTGACCTCCACTGTGACCTGTATCACCTGCTGGCTCCCTGTTACGTATCACTATGCTCTTGCAATTGGATCCCAATCAACTCTTTATATACTCATTCCACAATGTGCACTCAATCATCAGGAACGAGTTGGCAGAATTGGACAAGCAATTTCCCATGATGCACTGAGCTCCTCTCTCCTCTACTTTCTCTCCATCTGTATGCAACCTCATCCCATTATTGCATGTTACTAACACAACTAACTAACTATGTTACTAACTACCCTTTCTGGTAGTCTTGTGCTTTCTCGTCCCTCTCCTCTCTCCTCCTATCACTTCCTGCAGGTGTTTCTGGCTCTGGAGCTGTGGAGTCTGAATCTGTGGCTGCGGGTCACCTGCTGCCCCCGTGTTCCTGCTCGACACCCTCTGCTGCAACGACTATTGTTACTAGTCCTATTGTTATTATAATCATTAACATTACAACTGTTACCATTAACACTACTATAAATATCTGTACCATTTTTCATTTAGTCTATAGCAACATCACCTTCACTGTGTGTACCTCTGTGTGTATACTGTGTAGGCTGCCTCCCTCCCCTTTCTCTCTCCTTACATCCCTCCCTCTCTCTCTCTCTCTCTCTCTCTCTCTCCCCTTCACCCCAACCGGTCGAGGCAGATGGCCGCCCACCCTGAGCCATGGTTCTGCTCGAGGTTTCTGCCTCTTAAAAGGAAGTTTTTCCTTGCTTCTGTCGCCTAGTGCTGCTCTTGGTGGGAACTGTTGGGCCTCTGTAAATAGCATCATAAAGTACGGTCTAGACCTGCTCTTTTATGAAAAGCGCTGTGAGATAACTGTTGTTGTGATTTGGCGCTATATAAATAAAATTGAATTGAATTGAATTGAATTACAAGGGCCTGCATCTATACAGTGCAGTACTGTCAATACTGTAAATAGTCTGAAAAAGTTTTATGTGTAGTGTATCCAAGCAATTGAGAAAAGGGTTAAAGTTTTGAAAAATGTGCATTTTGATCATCGGTTGTGAGTTTTGTGTCTAGAGTTGTGAAAAAGCTGTAAAAGAGATTGCAGCAGGGACGTCACTAAGATTGAAACACAGGGGGGGCTTAGCCCCCAGGGGATGCGTAACTTGCGCTTGCAAAATCTTTGCACTCACATCTTTTGTTACTGTATTAGAACTACACTTATGTCAGCAACCAGTGAAGAAGCCAAGATGTTAACAAATAAAAAGCAAGAGACATACTTTGTTCTTCCATTTCTCCTCTGTTGAACAAAATGTGCTGTAATGTTACATGGGCGTCTGGAGCAAAAGAAATGTGGGTGTGTCCTCCTCCAGGATTATATATATATATATATATATATATAAATTTTGTTTTATAAAAATCGTCATTGCTTATTACTTATATGCTATTTTAAAGCTGCTAAGTTCAATGTTGCTCTAAACTGCTTTTTGTTGTATTTTGTATACAATGACAATAGAGTCTCTATCATGAATCCTGAAATCTGTTAGTTGGGGGGTTCCTCCCCCCCCGAAGATTTAGAGCATTAAACACTTGATTTCCTACATTCTTGGGATTTGTTTGCACCAATTTATGGTGAAATGTTTTTATTTATGTAAAGGGAAACACAAAATTCAGGTGGCAGGTGACAGTTCAAAATCTAAAACTCAACAGAACTTCAGTCGGTGCAGCTCTCAGTCATTCTGTGGTGCTTTCAGATATGTTTCTCCTGTAGATCAACTTTCTCATGTAATATCATCCCTGCTGAGTCAACACACATTGAAAAAACAATAAGTCTGTCCAGTCCATTTCTGAATCAGATTTGGCACTGGTACCACAGCTAGCTTCTCTCATTGACCAGGATTCAAAGAGCTGCAAACTCTGGTTGATTAATGTTAATATTACTGTAGCTAGCTAGCCTAGCAAAAATATCAGATAACTCTGTTATAAGTGTTATGTTGTTAACTATTTTAACAACATAGTGTAAGTGTAACTGTAATTCAATGCTGCAACAAAGACTACATGATGCCTTTAAAAGCATCAGGCAAACAAATGATGAACTTTCCCTTAAAAAGCGGTTTTAATGACAGTACGTGAGCATGACGACTCTGAAAGGTGAACAAACAGAGGCGCTGAATTTCAGTGAGTGGGTCCAATATCATTGTTCCTAAAAAGTGGGACAGTCCCACCCACATACAATGGTTCCCATGTAATGTTATAAAAAATATAAATATAGTATATATCTATCTATCATGTTAGCTTTTAGAAACATCAACGCTGCAGGGGGGGAATTCACTTAGACCAGACTGAGTTCTTCTGTAGGCTGTGACATAAATGCTACCCAGTTGCTCATGTAAATGTGTAATATCTCTATTAGATAAGTCGGAGATCGTAGGAATACTATTTAATTACACTAATTACTGTTACTGCACTGTGGATTGGTTCAATCATGGTTTCAGCCCCCCTAAAATAGGCCTAACAACATCCATGGATTGCAGAGACTCCAACAATAAAAAAGGTATTAAGGTAGACATGGGAACATTTGTAGTTGTGTTTAAAAATGATAACTGCCACCTCCACTGCCTGAAAGTCAAGAATAATTAAAACAGTAGTAATTAAGAGACATGCCTCAGTTAGTGGGGAAAAAATTAATAATTGTTAGTTATAATAACATCTTATATCTTTTACATATAAAGGACTTGTTTAAAGGGACCTCACATTAAGTAGACTAAAGAAATAATGAAAATCTATCAACACCAGCCACAGAGCCCCAGAGCATTATTCAGAGTAACTCTGTTTCTGGACAGACGTGTTGTTTTTTAAAGCTCCACAGAGCTGCAGAGTTTGGTGATAACTGGGATCAGAACATAGACTGTATATAAATGTGAATGTAATGTTTATACAGTCAGTGGTTCAGAACAACCAGAGACAGTTTCACCTCACAGTCATTTCATCCAGTGTATTAAAAGCATATTTAAAAGATGAAACAAATTTGTTTTCTACTTTAAACATTTCATTCATTTCACAATCATCACATCCTACAAAAACATAGTGTTGTGTCAGAAGGAATGAGTTTGCTCTGAAGAGGAACAGGAACTACTTCTGGGTTTGACTGAAGGTTAAACACAGATAAGATCGCATCACTCAATAAAAAAACTTGAACATTCAGCCTTGTTGCTGTTTTGCATGTTTGATTGTTTTTTTCTCTGTTAAGCATCGTTTCTTCTTCTGGTGTAAAGTGCAGGTCATACCAACAGATTTGCCCGAAACATGCTTTGTTGGAATAAATGAAACTAAATACACAGTGATGCAGGAGCTGCAGTCCTGTATTGTGAATCAAAGCCTATCATCAGTGTCTACTGTCTGCAGAGCGAGTTGTTGTAGCAGTAGGATCCTCTGCCAGCTGAAGTTCCTGTCCTGGTGTTAAAAGAGAGATCAGCTGCTGATAATCTGCTGTGTGTTGGTCCTGGAGAACTACTGCACAGGACGGATCTTCATGATGATGAAGCAGATCTGAGGTCTGTGAGGCAGTGATGATGGACAGGTGACCAGCTGCACCTTTAAACTGTGAGTTAAAACAACACTCACATGTCCACATGTACATAAGTAAAGTTTTAATAATAATAATAATAATAATCAAACAAAAACAAGTTACAAAGTGCTTTAACAAGTGTAAAGACAATAATACAAAAACAATACAAGATAAAAGCATGAAAACATTGAAAAGACTAAAATACACGTTTAAGATAAATATAAAATTAGTAAAATAGAATAAAATAAAAGGGATAAAATAAAGTCAAATAAGATCGGGAAGGGCTCTCCTATAAAAGTATGTTTTAAGAAGGGACTTAAAAGAGTTCACTGACTCAGCCAACCTGATTTCCTCGGGCAGTAATTCCAGAGCCTCGGGGCCCTGACAGCAAACGCTCTGTCCCCTTTAGTTTTCAGTCGAGACTCTGGAACAGACAACAGACCTCTGCCCGAGGATCTCAAGGTACGTGCTGGTGCGTATGGGACTAAAAGGTCAGAAATATAACAAGGCGAGAGGCCATGAAGAACTTTAAAAGTGATCAATAAAAATTTAAAGTCTATTCTAAAACATACTGGGAGCCAGTGTAATGAAGCTAAAATAGGAGTAATGTGGTCATATTTCTTTGTCCTGGTTAAAAGCCTGGCAGCTGAGTTCTGGACAGTCTGGTGTCGATCAATAGATTTTTGGGTTAAACAGGTGAAAAGGCTGTTGCAATAATCCAGGGGCAAAATGGTCTCGGTGTCCTTAAAAGTTAACATAGATCGAATTTTTGCTATATTTCTAAGTTGATAAAAACATGATTGAACAAGCTTTGTGGTGTGCTGCTCGAAATTTAAATTGCTATCAAACCAGACACCAAGGTTCTTTGCCACAGGCTTAATGTGATTTACTAGGGAACCAACAGATTGCAGTATTTGATTTGCCATCTGCTGAGACCCGATGACCAGGATTTCTGTTTTGTCTGAGTTCAGTTGGAGGAAATTATTTGACATCTATTTTTTAACTTCACAAAGGCAGTTGTTAAGTGAACTCAGCATTCCAGGGTCTGTGGATCTGACGGGCAAGTAGGTTTGTGTGTCATCAGCATAAATATGAAAAGAAATACCATGTTTATGGATAATATGTCCAAGGGGAAGCAGATACAAGGAAAACAAAATGGGTCCAAAGACCGACCCCTGAGGCACACCATATTTAACTGGACAGAATGAAGAGACATAGTTGTTCACAGACACGCAAAACTTCCTATTTAACAGGTAGGATGAAAACCATTCTAGGGCAGTACCAGAGATCCCCACCCAGTGCCTCAGTCTGTCTAACATGATGTTGTGATCAATGGTGTCAAAAGCAGCGCTAAGGTCCAGGAGTACCAGGACTGAGCACATGCCTTCATCAGCAGACATTAAAAGGTCATTGGTGACTTTAAGCAGGGCAGTCTCAGTGCTGTGGTACTTCCTAAAACCAGACTGAAACTTATCAAATAATTTGTTATTTTCCAGTACAGTGAGCAGCTGTTTGGACACAATTCTTTCTAGAATCTTTGCAATAAAAGGCAGTTTTGAAATTGGTCTAAAATTATGTGGGAGGGAGGGATCTAAGCCAGGTTTCTTTAAAAGTGGGTTCACGCAAGCCGTTTTAAAATAATCATGGACACAACCAGTAGATAGGGAGCTGTTGAAAACAGAGATCAAATGGGGCCCAACAGAATCTATTACTTTCAGTAAAAACTTTGTAGGTATTACATCAAGTGGGCTGGAGGACACTCTCATTTGTGATACTGTTTTTAAAAGCTCAGACAAGTCGATGGGATAAAACTGGTTAAAACTCTCTTGTTGCTGGTGAGGAACCTCTGAGTAAGAGGCCGCAGGGGTAATAGAGGCTCTGATTGACACCACCTTATTGGTAAAATATGATAAAAACAATTCACAGTCATCATTACTTCCAGCTGAGGCACAAGGAGGGGTTGGGTTTACCAGCTGATCCACAGTCTTAAACAGAAACCTGGGATTGTGTTTATGTGTAGTAATGAGTTCAGAAAAATAGTGTGTTCTCGCATCCTTAACCATGTTATTGTAGTTAATTAATAAATCCTTCAGACTGAGGTAATGGACTTGGAGACTGGATTTTTTCCATCTGCGCTCTGCTTTCCAGCATTCCCTTTTTAGGCTGCGAATCCAGGGTTGCTTACTAGCTTTAGACGTAGGCCTAACCTTTAGAGGAGCAGTAATATTTAGTGACGACAAGCAGATATGATTGAAGTGATCGACCAGATTGTTGGTGTTGGAATCAGGCAGGTGTTGGCTTTGGCTCTGAAAGAATGCGCAAAACTTTGAAACACTTTGTTCATTAAAGATGCGAGAACACACGGAGCTTGGTGAGGCGGCATGAGTAACAGGCGAATTGCAGCTAAAAACTATACATCTGTGGTCAGATATGGTCATGTCCACTAATTCCACAGAGGAAATGCTGACACCCAGGGTAAAAACCAAGTCCAGTGTATGACCACGGTTATGTGTTTGCCCTTTGACATGTTGTTTGAATTTAAGAAGTGGCCATATTTAAAAAGTCAGCTGCATTAACATTGGTGGGGTCATCAACATGAATATTAAAATCGCCATAAAGAACAATTCTGTCATAATTTAAAACCAGAGTAGATGAAAATTCAGGAAGTTCTGATAAAAATCCTCCAGGCGGTTTTGGGCGGCGATAAATTATAACAAATATGACAGGTTGCAGCCCTCCAAGTTTAAGAGTGAGAACTTCAAAGGAGTTAAATTCATCACAGCGTACTTGATGACATTTAAAATTCTTCCTATACACGCTCACTAGCCCACCACCACGACCACTGACCCTCTTTTGACTTTTGACTAAAACAATCATATTGAGGCGGACACAGTTCAGCTAGCTGGCTATAGTCATTCATTTGCAACCATGATTCAGTTAAAAACATAAAATCTAGATTTGCAGACAAGATAAAATCATTTAAGATAAAAGTCTTACTTGAAAGTGATCTCACATTGAAGAGAGCCATTTTAAATGAGATTGTTGTGGGTGCTGGAGTTGGTGCAGTTGTCCTAATCCTTAAGAGATTACAATTATTTATTATTTCTGTGTGGGATGTGCACATTTCGGTTTACTGGTCTATGCGTGATGATGACAGGAATAGAAGTCTTTGGAACAGCGCTGGGAGCAGACGGCTTTACATGCCAGCCGGTGGTTGTTAGTGGCAGTGAGGCAGAGTTCTGTTCAGTGACCGGTGGTGTATCCAGGTGTGCTGCATGAATGATTAGTCATTCACGTAAGTCATGTGTGGACCGCACCACATGCTGTATGTGAGCAACTAACATTTCTGAGCCCTGCTTGTTTGGGTGAAATCCGTCTGTCTTAAAAAGAGACATTCTTTGCCAGAAAATATTAAAATTATTCACACAACTCACCATGTGTGTTATGTGGATAATTTTAATATTTTATATATCCACAGGCAAACCTATTGCTCATCACAAACTGGTTGCTGACCTACTTGATGCTGTGCTGTTGCCCAAAATGATTGCTGTGTGTAAATGTGACGCCCACACTAACAAACTTGATCCTATCTCACAGGGAAATGCCAGAGCTGACCTTGCAGCAAAGGCTGCAGCGAAACACACTAACTACCCAATGTACTGTTTTAACTGACTCTACAGTGACCCCTACAGCTGACTTACAGGAGTTACAAGCGAGAGCTAGTCCACAGGAAAGAGCTGTTTGGAAGACAGCCGGCTGTACATTTTCTGACAAAGTGTGGTATGGGCCTGATGGGAAGCCATGCCTGCCTAAATATCTCTTTCCTTATTATGCTAAGTTGACAAACGGTAAAGACCATATATCAAAACGGAGATACGCAGATATGTTCTCTAAATGGGTAGAGGCATTTCCAACATCTAAACAGGACGCAGCAGCAGTTGCGAAAGCTTTGTTAAGCCAGATCATTCCTCGCTGGGGGATCCCAGCTAAGATCTCCAGTGATAACGGCACACCTTTCATCAGCGCAGCATTGAAAAGTGTAGGGGAATATATGGGGATTGATCTGAGGCAACATTGTGCTTATCATCCAGCTTGTTAAATGCTGTGAAGAAACAGGTTTAACATGGACAAAAGCCTTGCCGATCGTTTTAATGCACATGAGAAGCAGGATGAGGGGCAGAGGGGGTCTCAGTCCTTTTGAAGTCCTATTTGGCAGACCATTGAACACGGGAATTGGGCCAGTAAAAAGACAACTCCCTGACACCAGCCAATGTGAGGATGAAATGTTGAGATATTGTGCTAATTTGTCCCCTGTGCTTTCTAAAATTCACATGCAGGTCAAAAATTCCATCCCAAAGGCCGCAGAAAAGAAAGGATTTCAGGAGAAAGAACTGGCGGGCTCGCAGGTGGACTGGGCCATTTCAGATACTGCTAACAACAGAAACAGCAGTAAAAGTGGCTGAAAGAGCAACTTGGATTCACGCCACCCACTGCAAACAAGTGCCAAAGCAACCAAAAGGCCTCAAACCAGGTGAAGATGGAGATCAGTGAGTGAGCTGAGCTTTCCCCTGCCTTGTGTTCCTAGGGAGGGAGGGGAGTGGAGGTCTCTGAGACCACCTAGAACCACTAATCTCCCAAACACTCACCGTGGGCACACTGATTGCAGGGGTAGGCAAGGTGACACAACTGATAAGATATGATGCCAGAGATCACCAGATGGATCCGGAGAGGTGACAGACCGAGAGAAAACGGAGGCGTTGTTCTGCTCACTGTCATCATCATCCTGTCATCATCCAAACATGAAAACAACAAACTTAGGCCTGACTGAGGGAAAGATCCAGGCCGAAGAGGAGGAGTCGCACATCCTCCCAGACAGCCCAGCTGGGCTGAAAGACTATGCATGGTATGCAACCATGATGACCACTTCAAGAAAAGTGACCAATCTGAGCTGTTATCTGTGTGCACAGCTCCCTCATGGAGTGGGGAACTCCATACCACTGAAACCCTGACCATTAAATGTTTCAGAGACTCTAGG